AGACCCATAGTATGCGCGCATGACGTTCTCATTTATTGTCTGAGTCCATCGCATGCGCGGCACACAACCACCGGCAGCGGGGGCCCGGTTCGGAACCGGGTGGCTCCTGGACCCTAAGCTTGCTGGTGGCCGGGGTCTCCCCGGCCGGCGCACAGGTGTTGGCGACGTCGGCGGGGAGAAGTACTCGTTGCTTGAGCTCGACGCTGTCGTAGCCACCGACGGGGTTTCTTCGGTCGGCGGGGGCGGCTGCAAGGCGGAGCTGAGCGACGAGTCCGGAGATGGAGGGCGTGTTTTTCTTGTTCGTCGTGGTCTTAAAATCATTGTTTGTCTCGTGAAATAGCCATCAGAATTATATTGACAGGTGTCATCACATCAGCACTTTTTTCATTTTCTTGAAATACATGTTTTCTAAAATTTTGAATAATAAACATTTTAAATATGACTTAAGCACAATTTAAAACTGTTTATCGTGTATATAACGACGTATTTAATATGTGAAATTTAATTTTTTATCGGATTGACATTTCTTGAGACGTTTTTCTTTTGGGGGTTGCCACGTTATTATTATTATTATTATTATTATATAGAGATCAGCGGGCGTAGTCATATGAACGCATCGAATGAAGAAGCAACATGCAGGCCGGCAGGGTGAGGATGGCTGATGTGGCAGGTAGAACTGCTGTACCAGCTATCTTCGCGTCTGGACTTCACTGTCACTTAACAACAAGTGTGAGCCATTTGTCGGACCTATCTAAAAATATCACTCATAGTCCGTGTATTCCCATTGACGACGGTGCAGTCGTTTTTGTTTGAGTTTTTTTATGTTATCGGCTCCAGGGAAGCCATACGCTACCCTTTATTGGTGTTGTGTTTTTGTTGGTGAGTAAAGTTTTAGGGCTCCACGGGGTAGAACAGGAAAGGCAACGATGCGAGTGATATTTTTGGCATCGCAAGCGTCTATTGGAAGTGGTGGCCATTTACCATCAGGGGCTCAAGCACGAATTTTTGAGAGAGATTTTTGGTGTCCAAAAATATTACTCGCGTCGTTGCTTTTCCTGACCTACCCCGTGGAGCCCTAAAACTTTCATCATCATCATCATCATCATGTCAGCCGTACGACGCCCACTGCTGAGCATAGGCCTCCCCCAAGGATCTCCACACCGATCGGTCCTGCGCCACTCGCGTCCATCAGCTTCCCGCGACCTTCATAAGATCGTCGGTCCACCTTGTAGGGAAAACTTTACTAAAACTTTACTCACCAACAAAAACACAACTCCACCAAAGGGTAATGTTTTTTTACTGTAGTATTCTGTAAGGTGGAGGACTTACGCGATGCTAACAAAAACAATAGCTCTTTTTCCATTTCAGTATTACTAAAAGCTTTTTCAAAAAAAAAACGCTTCAAGATAGAGGCTGCAACGAAATGAAATAAAACTACAAATGGTATATATACGAAAGTTTTTTTTTTAATAATTGGGTATATTTACAATAGACTAATTAACAAACGTGAGTTACATGAATATTGTAAGAAGAGGCCTGGCCGACGACGGCCGAAACCACCGGTACGGTACGCACATTCACACCAAATATCAAATACTCTATAATATCAGCGATCATCGGATCGGACTTAGATCAGTATGTATCAATTATTTCTAATCAATCAATGGAATGTAAGCCTTTCTTAAACTGCGCCTTACTTTTTTAGAAACCACAAAACTTTTGATTATATATACACCTAGATATCGTATCAACTGCGCGGAAGTTCTTAAAAAATATCTACTACATATGGTAGATAAGCTCGTCGCTACACAAGCACACCTTGACTGTTTTTAAAAAATCTGACATTAGATTCGCGCAAACATTGCGCGTACATGACCCTCTTTCTTTGCGTGGTTAATTTAGAAGGCTCTGTCTAGGCGTGTATGTAATCAAAACACAGAACAAATTAAGATCTTTCTCGTTCTGTGACATTAACAAAGAAAATAGCCCAAACAAAACAAATTATAATAAATTCAACAGCCATTTGACTAGGAATACAGTCGGTAACAAAAACAAATGCTTATTCGAATATAGTTACATCATTGCATTAGAAATTTTGTTAGATAAAAATATCATTTCAATAGATGCAGCAGACGGAATTATGTATACTTAATTTCTAAAGTCAAAAATATATTGTTGGATTCTATCGTATCACTGCAAGAGCTTTAAAAGCTGCGTACGGAACGCGTTCCATTGTACGCGTAAGCGATTACGCGTACCTTGGAAAGCCATATAAATACTTGTAGCTTCGCGCACCCTCCACGACATGCTCTGATGATTTTAATCGCTGTTATTTTCTAAATGTGTTATTACAAAGCATTTTGCCCTATCGCCATACCAGTTGTCTCTAACACTCGTTCAGGTTGACTGGTAGAGAATGCCTATGGCATTAAGTCCGCCGTTTGCATATGTATGGCAATGAAGTTTAAATAAATAAATGAGTATGGATAGAGCAGTCCAGGGCATGTGTAGAATACAGCTTGAATCTATGGTTACCGACTGTTTATTACAATAATAAATTACACAATACAAAATAATGGGTAGTTGACTAGACAATTTTGTTGTTTAATTAACTCAACTAGAAAAGTTACTCAGTTAAGTAGGTACCTACACGGAGACTGCGTTGAAATACTGTTACAATAATTTAATCAAAGACTTTTGGGCTAGGTAAATATTAAATCGTTATTTGAAAGTGTTTTTTTAAACTCAAACGGGTATTTCACTTTTTGTAAAGTCTTCAGAAAATATTCTACAGATCTTACAAATAGGAAGGTACTAACTATCGCGATACGAATTGAATTAGTGGATCTGAAAAGAAAACATAATTAAATTACGTGCCAAAGTAGTATGTTCAAGACTTTGGTACGTAATTTAATTATGTTTTCTTTAATATAATAATATAGTTAAGGTCTGCACTTTCTTGAAAATATATATTACTCATTCATTTAAGGAGTTTGTAGGATTTTAGTATCTTAATGTAGCCTCGCTTGCGGTGTCAGAGTGCAGGCAATGTAAAATGCGTATCATTGTCACGTCATACTATCAATAAAACACTACATGAATGCATGGAAACCAGATAAGTGCGGTAGACATCTGTTCTAATGCAGTGTTAGTACCTACATGCGTAGGTTTGATGACATTATTACTTCAAAAGTCAATGTCAAATCTAGATAACTTCTCCGCTCGGTAAACTCCCTCGAGATTTATTATATATATTATAAGTATAGATTACTAATTTAAGCATTGGTCAGCTTAAATTCTGAAGCACTCCTTGAAACATTTACATAGACATCTCTTTCCATTAAGTGTGATAACTTGGTACTCATAATGCATGATTTGGTTCAAGAATAAGATAGGTAGTAAATTATGAAATATTCTGTGTCTCATTTTCGTGTATATGTGTACACTTGACCTGTTAAAAACATCTCAGTCAACTACCCTGGCAAACATAACAAATAAGAGAGAACAAGATTATCGTAATATTAAAAAAGACGGCATCGGAAATCTTTCATCTAAAAGACTCGGTTAATCCGGGACTAGATTATTGCCTTACAATACTAACCACTTTAATTATGACTTAGATTAACAACAATCACGGAGTTAAATAATAAATAAAATGTTAACTCGAAACGTAATAATTATGTAGGTTAGTAAGTAATCACATAACACAAAGCTAATCCAGAAATGTACATCACAGAAATCTACTTCATATAACTTGTATTAGACATGAGAACATTTGAGATTCCAAAGTTAACTGTAAGTACATATACATCCATCCATTCACATTACATGCTAAACATTTATCACGGCACTCGGTGCTAACTCAAGCCTTTATGATTACATAGTTACTTAAATTAATTAATTAAAAACGGAAAACTGAGTTTTTTTTACACTATAATTTATACATAAATCGGTTAGTTCAAATTATAAATGACAAATATAACGTTTCGTTTTATTTTTCATTTGCTTTTATTTTTTTTTATCACTAGCGAATACCTTTACAATTCGTGTCTCTATAAAAAAAAATATCAATATTCATGAAAACTTATAAACTGTCAAAATACTTTATTATTATAATTATGTTGAAAGTTACTGAAATAATCGAGCACACTCCTCGCACGAAAAGATAATATAATTAATTTCACAAAAGTAAACAAAATTAATGTTGCAAGGCTACCCGTTTACGAGTTGCCGAAATGTATGAAATACTTATAAATATTGTATGAAGAATTTAAACAAGAATTTTCACAATCCATACTAAGTACTTATTCAATAATCTGTTTTAAATAAGTTATTTTGGTATAATTTTCACTAACTGAGATCGCTTTTTCCCATTTATACTAAAGTAAAATAAATTTTTATTTCAATCACGTGCCAACTAACTCTTTAGAGTCTTGCAGACTAACTTAGTGCAGCAGACCGCAACACTTGGGGCGAACATGTCCGAGTGCCGGCAACCCATCGTATCTATAATTAAACTACATGCTTTCATACTTAAAATGTAATATTTTTAATTCGACATTACTGTACAAAACGCTTATTCATTTTCGCAAAATTTGACCTATTATTTAATTTTTTTATATATTAAATTATTATTATATCAATGCGTCGTCGATCCCGTGCTTACAGCTCGCTTTTTACGTACACTTCATTGAAGGGTTCACCGGGGTGATACTATATATTTTATTGCACCCTCCCGCCTGCCACACATTTCGCTATTACATAATCATCTAACTATAATGGCGATACGATCATTTACCTACGTTATGAAACTCTTATCTAGCTAACCGCTGCACTATTGGACTAAGACCACCGGACAGCGCAAGAATTATAACTTACACCAGACATTTACCTACTATACGACAGACAGGTGCAATATAAGTTGCAGAGTTGGGTGTCTCGAAGGAGGCAATCGACCTGATTGCGGTGAAAAGAGAACCCAATTAAATAACATATTTTACTCATACAGTAAAACGTGGTTCGAAGATCCATTTCCTATTGTAAGATCAGGGTCCTTAGGCGTCGCGTCGTCATAATTGGCAACGGTCATACGATGACTTATAGGTCATATGAAGTGTCCTAATACAGCACGTAAGCCCGTCGCACAAGCTACATTATATTCATAACGATGAGATCGTATCGTGTCATCGTATCTTCTTTACCAATACGGACGATCGGATCGTATCGATATATCGTTGTGCTGTGTCCTACTCTACGTCATTTAAACCATGTAAGTTGAAGTAGGATGGACGACGTTAACAATATATCAACCTTAAGAGTACAGGCGCAGACCACTTCACGTTTTCTTCTTTGGCATGAATAATGAAATGCTAGATCGTTACAGACTAACATTTTATTAGAATCATTCCCTTATTTTAATTGATTTCTAATCTTTGTGTTTGTTACTCAATTTGGAAATAACAATATATAAAGCATATACCAATCCGTTTCCGTCAATGTACCCTTGCGTGCCTAATTCAAGTGTTCCAAGGTCTTCAAATCCAAATTGTTCGGAATCACGCTACTGTTTTGCTGGAATGCCAGAAAGTCAAATATCAACTGGTCTATTAATGGAATTATTCGTCTTATCACTTTCTATCTAATATTTTAACGATGTAACAGTGACATCGAATGCGCGTTAGCGTCGCTTTAACTTTGGTTCTCTTGTACTCGAGTATTATAACTTGACTCTGAACAAGCACTTGGTCAAACATCATTAGTGATCTAAGAGTTAATTTAAAGTTGATGGCCATTGAGCAAATTGTATTTATGTAGGTAAACTATCATCTTTAAAAAAATTAAACAGCATAAAGCAGGTAAGTAGATTTTTTAAGCCATTATCATACTAATTTCATACGAAAAGGTTTAGTCAGCACATAAATCGGATCTACGGATATACATTACCGAGCTGATAAGAGTAGAGTAAAGTGAGGGACTGTGTAAGAAGGGGCACAGTGTTAAATAAGGAAATTCTCTGCCCTACTCTTATTTGGGTATGGTCTGTCTTGAAGTCTTTTATTAATTTCATATGCTGCATCTTAAGCAGCTGTCATCAGACGTCAAATGGCCGCGTGTAAAACACAGATGTTCCTTATGTTACAATGTGCCGCTTGTTACACTGTACCCCAATTGACGCTACAATTCAGCACGGAACTTCAAACAAAGAACACTGAATGCTTCTCTCCGTTTCCGATCCAACATATATGTTGCAACCTTTAATGAGGCAAACTTGTGAGTATTTATTGCGCTTCTTTTATGAAGCATTTTATTTTCAGTAAGTTTTCTATTCAATAGACAAATTTCATAATTATTATCAAACTCATGAGTTTCATGAAATGAAGGCTTTTATTAATTTCTATAAAAAATGACTTTAGTCATAAACTGGTCAAAGATTTATAGAAAGGAGGGCAATTATCTCACTATACCTACTTATTGCCGAACTTTTTTCAAATAGACGATGATTGACCAAGCACTTCAGTCATGTAAAGCCGACATCAGACCCGGCTGGGGCGGTCGGCTAGAGCGAGTCTGAGGACCGCTACCTCCGTGTGTCAGGCGGCGGTGAGGGCGTGAGGGGGGGCAGGCGCGGGGTGCGCCGGCGCGGGAGGGGGTGACTCCACCCCGCAGGCCTTCAGCTCCGTAAAGACCTCCGTGAAGAACCCAGGCTCCGAGTTAATCCTTAACATGTTGAACGATAGCCTGTCGACGATCAGAAGGCAGCGGTCCCAGAATTTGTCTTTGGAGTCTTCTACGAGGAACGGCTTGAGGGGATAGGAGATCTCGTTGCCCATGTAAGAGTAGGAGAGGTACAGGCAGGTGAGCACGACCGCCTGCAGGTCCTGGGGGCGTGCTATTCGTTCCCCGTCCACTAGCTCGCGGACCAGCATGTACACGAACACCACGTTCGCTGGATTGATGAAAGCCACGTCCTGGGAAAAAGAGCAAGAAAAGATAAATCAATAAAAGTATTTACTATTTCATCTTATAAGAAACTGGTTGGCGTTAGTTGTCGGCGGGTTCGGTATGAGATCGTGGAAGTAAAACAACTTTAGTAATAGCCAGCCAAAAGAGAGGCATAGCGAATTTTCCGCTCGAATTGACCACCCGTCTGGGGAAGTTACCTCCACCTTTCAGAAGACCACAGTAAGTGTCGCCGCACACGGGCCACACGCTACAACAAACGCCGCCACGGGAAGCTACTCGTAGAAGCGGCTACTAAAATGGCTGAAGCACGCGACAGCGGCCGACTAAGGTAAGGGAGAAAGGGGTGGAGAATCGCGCGAGTGACTTTGGCGGCGTTTTGTGCGCATTAAGTGGCCGGTGCGGACCACAAGAAGCGAGCAACGATGATTTGAAGCGTATGGCGGCCACCGGCGTACCGTGTGTGGCGATTTCATATAAAATGTATGAAAACTTCAAGAAATATGCCGGTGGCGGCGTTTCGTGGTTGTGTAACCAAACACTAAAGCTCCTCCGTGCTTTGGAAGGCACGTTCAGTCGTTGGTCTCGACTTCATTTGCAGTTGTTAGCCCGTGTGGATGGATCACGTTCTATATTCACTGGGTGCCCCAGCAATGGGGACGTCAATTAGCTAATGATGTTTCCCATGAGAATTGTTGGTTTCATGATATAGATAGCGAACTAAATTACACGCATCAAAAAGACTGAACAACAAGCATCATTTACAGAAACTGTATGTTTTATTAACTGATGTTTTTTCTTAGCAAAGTAGATTAGTATACAATCTTTTTTGTTCCCAAAATATAATTGACTTATCTTAAAAAGAGATACTTTTAGATTGTTTTCGTAATGCTATAGTATTAATAGTTATATTGCAATAGTAAAAATCGCCAAAAATTCAAATCCGTACATGTTGCTTAGACTTTTTTGATGAGTGTATCTTTCAAACTTCACGACGAATCGCGTTGTTCTAATGACATTGTAACTTTCTTCCAAGTACCACCTTTAATATTGATTTTAATATACCTTCAGCAAACACTAGGTTTTCAGGTCAAGGAGTGTATTTTTATCGCTGACATGTATTAGTGTATATTCGCTCGTGACCTTCTTTAATGACGTTCTACATATGTCTATTTCATATTTTGATGACGAAGTTGAGAAAACTTGATTTATTTTATGCCTAAGTTGTTCGTTTCTGTTAAGTTTGCCAAGAACTGATCACAATTTTAAACAAAATAAATACTGCCAACGTGTGGCTCTACCTTATGTGTTTAAAGTTCAAGGTAGGTGGAGCCGGCATACATCCTTAATATTGGATAAAAGCCTCTATATCAATAAGATAAAAAAAAAATAAGTACCTAATTCTAATTACTGGATGCCTTGAAAATTCTGGACTTTCTGACTATGTTTTAGTTTAATTTAGTTCCGGTCAAGCTTAAACTAATCGGAGTAACGTATTACAGTACGAAACAAACACATCCTCACCAGATTCCCACATAACCTTCTGTCCATTTAATTGGAAAAATGTCTTCAATGCTAGAATTCATAAAGTTACATCATGGAAAATCTTCATGTCAAATTCTACCGAGTACTTTTTTTCGAAAAAGTTTTAATTATCTAATATCGATTTATGTCAGTTGAAGCACAATACATACAAGAGCAGTAGCGTAACTCAGCCGTTTTCTTGTAATAGATACCTACGACCACAGATCACTATATTATTAGTAGCAAGCTACCTACGACTGAGCGGAGCGCTAGGGTTGGTAGTACCTACAAAATGTAAAACATATTTGTGTAGATTTTTATTGTATGTGTATAGTTACTATTGCCACGTTACGGAATCGAAACGGAGGCAGACGGCGCGGACGGCGCGGCGCGGCGTAGCTAACTTAACACGGCTAACGACAAGTCTCGGAGCGCGCGACGTGGCACTGAGTAGTGGGCTTGTTGAAAATATATCGATGTATCGATATTTTTGGTTCGATATATCGATATTTTTTGCCGATATATTTTGATTCGATATATCGATACATCGATACAAAATAACCAATATCGAAATTCGTATCAAAAACGATATTTTTTTAATTATTAGCGGCATATCACGATCTAACTAAATTCGTATCTGGAAAAATCGTAACTGGATCTCAGATTAATGATATTCAACATATCTATGATCTGTGCTGTATTTAGTATTGTCTATGTCATCATTGGAAAATAGGATCTATTTTTAGGGAGATAATTTTCGTTCCATTATTATTCCGCGTGTCATATTTCGTGAGCTACTGTACGATATTTTTGGGAAAATTGCTCCGATATATCGATATATCGATGTTTTTTTCGCGATATATCGAAGCCGATATTGATATTTTTTAAAATATCGATGTATCGATATGTCGATATTTTTTCCAACTTTCGACATCCCTACTGCGTAGATTTGTCTTGGCAAGATTAGTTAGCGGCCGAGTAAATGACGTTTGTCTGTGTACGTGCGTCGATTCGGGCGCCAGTATGAAGTCGGAGTACTGCTCTTGTATGTATTGTGGTTGAAGCAAGTTTCACTTCATTGACTTAAGACAACTCAACGCCGCTCACACAATGCGGAAAACCTTCAACCTTGTGAACTTAGCCGTAGGTTAACGAAATAAAACGTTATTTTAGCTAATAAAGATTCCATTGATACCTAACGTTTAACACGAAAACGAATGCTGAAATTAAAAGTATAATACTGGAAATAGCTACAGGCACGCACGTTGTGTAATTTATTGATGTAAAAGGGAAATACCACTCAATGAAACAGTCACTAGATTTATTCCTATAACCAGTTCTGGTTAATGGGACATTGAAAAATGTCCCTTTTAGCTTTTCCTTCATTTTATTATTATCTACGAAAGAAGAATATTTAAAAACATTTTCCTTTTGCTAACTGGTTTTCTTAACTAATAGGGTATTTGACAAGTTTTAGAAAACGATCTCACGTTATTGACTATTGTTTATTGAATCTATAAAAAGTTGATATTTATCATCCTGTTGTGTATTACAATAAAAAAACTAAATCAAAATTAATGGCTACCGCGAAAACGTTTCTCCGGTCATTTTTTTGAGTCTGTGGCTTTCTCCGTTTTACACAGAAATTTCGCCAATGTCCAATCGTCAGAGAGATACGAGAAAGACTGCTCGGAAGAAACAGATTATGGTGGTAGAAAGTCTATATATAAATAATATATATAAATAACCGAATATCCGTTCTTCCTTGAGCTTTTCACGTTCTTTATTTTCCATACTGAAAAATAGTCTATTGCGATTGGATTCACATACTTCGGTAACTCGAGGAAGTATAATCCTTATCAATATGTGAAAAAATGAGTTTGTCTTTAAAAACGCGTAATTATTTACGAAGTTGAAGTTGCGTCATTGATAAAATTAAGCAACTATAAAAAGATACAGCAATTTTGAGCTTGATTAAATATTTATAATGTGCGTCATAACAACAAGTGTATTTCGTCCTACCGATATTATAAATGTGAAAGTTTGTATGTAAGTTTGTGTTAGTTTGTTTGTCACTCAATCACGCAAAAACTACTGAACAGATTTGGATGATATTTGGTACGCATGTAGTTGACGATCTGGATTGAAACATAGGATATTTTTTGTCCCGCAAGGCTGTTAGGTTCTTTTGGGATTCTCAATAAAAATACACTACATATTATAAAGTTGCTGCCGCTGTCTGTACGTTTACATTATCTTTTTCATTGTTTAACGTTCGTATGCTATGTTATATTAATATGGTTTTATAAACTTTAAGTCAACATACGAACAATTACAAAAAAACTACAAATTCCGACATTTCACGTAGATAGCTGTTATTATAATTATTATTTTATTATAGACAAATAAAGTGAGCTTGAAACTATTATTAATTAAACTTCCATTATTCGGAAAACAACATTGCTTAAAGCTCTTTTAGTCCATTTGATTAACCGTTTTTCTTAACTATCTACGAAAGAAGAATTTCCATTCACTTTTTCTTACTGGTTGAGAAAAAAGAACATTGAATCCTGTTTTCATAACAGGCTTTTTGGCAGTGTGATAAATAAAGTACCAATTGAGGAGCGTCTGTTCAAAGGGGGCTATTTACGTATTTACTGATTTATGTTTTTTTTTTCGTGAATTCTACTGGTATTCTAAGATCCTATCACAGCCTGTGTTTATTCTTGATCGAAAGTGATAACTTCCCCTTCAAATTTGAACTTAAATTCGCGGTTCTATTCAAACGGTGCCATTTTTAGCTCATTTAAAAGTTGTTGTTCGACACATAATATTTTTTTATCAAAATTTTTAAAGATTTTTTTTAATTTGAAGCTACATTTATGCCAAATATATAAAACAACTTGGCATTAATTCATTGTCATTACTTCTAAAGATAAAAAAAAACATGCATTATGGCAAACTATATCACATTTGTATATTTTTTTATCTAAAAAAGTAATGACAATTAATCGATGCCAAGTTGTTTTAAATATTTTGGCATAAATGTAGCTTCCAATAAAAAAAAATCTTCAAAAAGTTTATTTGTTGATGCTATTTATTATCATTCCTGATCAAAAGACGCTATTTTCCGAATATCCGACCAAAAAGTGCTATTTCCATTTTTAAATTTCTTAATTCTGTTCTTTTTAATAATAACAATAATAAATAATTTTACCCTAAAAATAAGTGACCTCATGGATATTTGACAGTGTTAAAAATAAAGTGCCAATTGTTAGCATGTGTTTTGAATGAATATTAACAGGGGTTTTTAATATTGTTACAAAAAAAAACATAATTTTACTAAAAACTTAAGAAAAAGATAATAGTTTTCTTATCTATTGTCACGTGATCCAAAACGCTTGGGATTGGCGGAGCCTAAAATGACGTCACACGCAATTAAACTTCCAGTTAGAGTGACATTACATTGTATCGTCTGATGTTT